CCGGTCGGAGTAGTCTGATGTCAGTAGCTTCTGCCGTAGCCAATAGACGCTGTCCAGGAAATTTTGAAAAGCTTGAGGGTACCTTGAAGACCACTCGGAAGGCCTCTTTGTCATCCACGCGATGGTCTGAGTCTACCAGGTGCGCTAGAATGGGACTGTTCATACTCTTTAGTGAGCGCTTTTCTAACCATGCTGGAATGTGTTCTCGTACTCTTTTGGACAAACGTCGGCTCGTGTGACCTATATATCCTGCCCCACAGGAGCAGGTAAATAAATGTCAAGGCTTGACGAGATTTCATCGAAAGAAACGTATGTTCGCCAATTCATCTTCTGAAATTTTTAGTGGGAATTTTCGCAAATATTACCCATTTGAAAAACTTGGGAAGCACATGAACCCTAGCGATTTTGAGGCAAAGACAGTTTAAGTAGTTAAACTATTATATATCAAAAGCCCAAACATGCTGTCGTACGAAACCGGGATAGAGGTTTTGTTGGTGAGGAAATATGATAGGCAGTGAAGGAAATTTTTAGAAGGGTAACGTGATAAAATGGGGTTGAATTTGTTTACCGCGAACGCTATATAGCCACGGATTTGAGCGCATTAGTCGAAAAAATAAGCAAGGAACAGCATTTTATAAATAAGAATTATTTGAATAAATAGCCAGCCGTTTATTTAAGATAACTTAGGAACCAGCGAGTTTACTAGCTACAATTACTACACTAGTTATTAAAATATATCCCTGCATAATTCTGCCCCGTGCCGGCGAGGTTGCACTGATTAAAACCACAAAATTAATGTGGTTTAACACTTTCCAATTGTTTGTTCAACCTTCATTCAATGTCTATGCTAACTCCTTACCCACAAAGCCCATATTAATAGAAGTCCCTTGAGACAGAATGCTGGTGCTAGGGGTAGATGAAGTCCACCACTTAAACTACTTTCGCTTCAATTTTGCACTTTACTCTGCGTAGAATAGGTGGACTGTGGAAAGTAAAACCGCTGAGAGAAAAGGGAGCTATATAGAAGATATAACAGCCTTGCCGAATTCAATGAACGATCAGTGTTTGACTTCCTCGCGCAGGCCGTTCGATGAGGATGAAAACCGTAGCCTTTAAAACTACCCCCATACTGGGCAACCAATCTAAATTCAGCGAAATGGCGCAGAATCCACGGTTCATGGTGGGACAGGCTGTTCGGCAGAAATCACATGACGGACACTGTTAAAATGGAAGAAGTTTGAATAAAGATTAGCACGATATTGAACTATTGCGGTTATTAGCATAAGTTGCATCTACCTTAATACTACCAGCAATAACAAATGAAAAAGTGACAATGATGACAGTGTCCCCATTATTGCGATTTAAGATTTTGTGAAATAGTATGTTGCCAATAGAAGCGAATATGCGAGTCCCAGGAGGTAAATGGGAAGAAGACGACTCTATCGAGGGGTCAATTGTCCAAGCGATCGAGTCGTCTTCTTCTCAAAATAGTATGTTTCGAAATTCGACTGCTCATCACGCGTTATTACCAGACTGTATGTGATGGTTGTAGACACTAGCCCGCAGTAACATGGGATGCCCCGTAATCTATCTTACAGACACAGTAGGCATTTGAAATCTATTTGAATGCCAAGCCATAACACTGTTAAATGAGTAGGTGAGGCGGGTGCGAATGCTAGAGGCGTGTTAAACACGGTGTCCC